AACTGGAATTAGAGTTAGAATTATTAGAATTACATTTATTGGAATTGTTAGAATTATAAGTATTAGAATTAGAATTATTAGACTTAGAGGAATGGAATGGAATAGAATAGAGAAGGAAGGAGAATAGAAATAGAAATAGAATAACAAGAGTTGTAAGGGACCTTGGAGGTCTTCTTATCTTATATTAGAATGAGAATTATTAGAATTGGAATTAAAATTGGAGTTAGAATTTATTAGAATTACATTTATTGCAATTGTTAGAATTATAAGTATTAGAATTATTAGAATTAGAATTGGAGTTAGAATGATTACAGATTTACAGATTAACGGAGTTGGAAGGGACCTTGTAGGTCATCTAGTCCAACCCCACCCACCCCCGCCCGAACATAGAATGATTAGAATTATTAGTTAGAATGATTAGAATCTCTCCTTGGTTAGTTGTTTCCATCCGTTGCTTCTTGTCCTGCCTTGGGTGGGTGGGTGGGGGGCTTTGGAAAATAGATGGACCCCCTCATTTCCAGAAGTTTGTTGGGACACCACCCACGTTTTGTATCCAGGCCGGCGGCCCTTGTCCTGCCTCCACCACGGCAGCCCCATGCTGCTCCATCCCTCTTCTGTGCCCCCCCACACACCGAGCCCCCTCCCCTTCTGACGCACCCCTTTCTTTCTCCTCCCCCTCCCAAGGTTACCCTGACCACATGGCCTTCGCCGAGTTCCGCCGGCGCTTCGACGTCCTGGCTCCCCACCTGACCAAGAAGCACGGGCGCCATTATATCGTCACGGACGAGAAGAGGGTATGCCGGCTGCAATTGGGGGGTGGGGTGGGGGGCTGCTGGGGTCTCTGCCAGGGCCAGGTTGGTAGGGGTCTGGAGGTCGTTGAGTCCCTGGACTTCCTTACCCCAAGAGGTGGGATAGCTGCACTCACGAGCAGGGGTGGGATTCTGCAGTTGTTACGATTCTGCCCACTTCAGAGAACTGGCAAATGGCGCCATTGGCTGGCCCCTCCCTTCCCCTCCTCGCCCACTCGCTCCTTACCTGGCATGCGCGCCATCCAACTTGCCTGCTAAGTTGCTATTTTTTTCCTTTTTCCTCCCCCAACCATCCAGCTGTTCTGCTGTGCTGAGAGATTTAGATTCGCTAGAAAGTTGGATTTCTTGCTTTCTAGCTAATCTAAAAGCAGAGCCGAAGCTTCCTTAGGACCGAAGCTTCTATTATTTTTCAGTGCAGACTCAGGTAGCAGATGGCAGAAAGATAGATCTCTGAGTGAATCTGTGATTCTGCGACAACTCCATCTGCCTGCCTGCTTTGCTTGCTTTGGGATAAAAGTTGCTCTTTTTCTTAATAAAAAAATGCAGTATTTACACACAGGGTGTGTTGCGAGTTAATTTTGTGAGTTTGCTTGCCAGCAAATTTTACGTGACAGACTCAGGTAGCAGATGGCAGAAAGGTAGATCTCTGAGTGAGTCTGTGATTCTGCGAGCAACTCCATCTGCCTGCCTGCTTTGCCTGATTTGGGGTAAAAATTGCTCTTTCTTTTTAAATCAAAAATTCAATATTGACATAAATATTTATAATATTTACACGCAAGCCACGCCCATCCAGTCACATGGCCACCAAGCCACACCCCCAAATTAGGCCACACCCACAGAACCATTTGTTACAAAATTTGAATCCCACCCCTGCTCACTGGGTGTGTGTGTGTGTGTGTGTGTGTGTGGGGCAGAAAGCATAGGATGAGCCTGGAGTTTTGGGGGTGGGCCTCAAAGATTTTAGCAGCCGGTTCTCTGCCTGGTTGCTGGGTGGGCATGCTCCTGCACCACGGAGGGGGGCGTTTTGGCCCTCCCCGGGCTCCGGAGGCTTTCCTCGAGCCTCCAGGGGGGGGCGAAAACAGCCTGTCAACTAAAAAAATACTCCTTTGGTCTTTGTAGTTGCCAACAGAAAGTAAGTGAGGAAAGCAGTGCATTCCTCAAATGCTTCAGATAATTGCTAGGCAGCCGAAGCTGTTGGCACGCAAGATTACTACTGGTAGAGCATGATTGCTGACTTTTGGCTTGGATGTGTCCCATTGGAGAATATACGTCCGGGGGGTGGGGGTGGCGGAAGACCAGGGTCAAGGAGGAAATGAATGATGTGTCTCAGAGTCGGCTGCACCCAGGTAACGCCGACATGGTCAGTCCTAATAAATCAGTTATTTTTAATCTGAGAGGTGCGGCTAGAGCCGTGATGGCGAACCTATGGCACGCGTGCCAGAGGTGGCACGCAGAGCCACTTGTGCTGGCATGGGAGCTGGAGGAAAACTGACCTCAGTGTGCGCGCCTCACAGCTGATTTTCAGCCGGTTGGAGGCCTTTTTCGGCCTCCCAGAGGCTTGAGGAAGGCTTCTGCAGGCTTTGCAGGCCCAAAACTAGGCCCGTTTCATCACTTCCTGTTTTTCTGGAAATACTGGAAGTGGCGAAACGGGCCTAGTTTTTGGCCTGCAAAGCCTGCAGAAGCCTTCCTCAAGCTTCTTTTTAATGACCAGTTTTTAATTTTTAATTACTGGTTTGCCAAACTAGTAAATACCCCCTCCCAAACTGGGGAGAACTGGTAGCAGCCCACCCCCTGGGTGTGGGGTGAATGTGCTTTCTGACACCCCCCCTTTGCTGTCTCTCCCCCACCCCCTTGTTCCTCCCCCCTCCCTCTCCAGGCTGCGGAAGAGCTGCTGCAGTCGCTAGAATTGGAGCAGAGCTGTTACCAGATGGGCCTCAGCCGGGTGAGAAGACCAACCTGGGGAGGGGTTTCTTGGGTGGGTCGGCATGGTGGAGGGGAGGGAGGGGTCCCTGCCAGGACAGGGGAAGTGCAGGTGGTCCTCGACTGAATGGCTAAAATTAAGCCCAAACTCTTCCGTTGCTATAAGAGGAGGTGGTGGTGGCGAAGCGAGCTTCGGACCGTTTTGCGGCCTTTCTCACCGCGGTCGCTAAGCGAATCCCCGCCGTTGGGAAGTGGAACGCGGTTGTGAAGTGAATCTGGCTTCCCATCCCCCCCCCCCCCCCAGTTGACTTCGCCGGTCAGAAGGTCACAAAAGAGAATCACGTCACACACACACACAAACACGCACACGGGACGCCGTACCCGTCATAAATATGAGTCAGTTGCCCTATTTTGATCCCATGGCCCCAGGATCTTACAACGGTCGTCAGTGTGGAACAACAGTCCTACCTCACTTTTCTCAATGCCATCATAACTTCGAACGGTCACTAAATGAAGCTTTATGCCCCGTTGCGTGTCGTTCCATGGTCATGTGACCAAGACTTGGGTGGTTCTTCCTTCCCCTTTTCCAGCCAAAAAAACCTCCCAGCGATTCAAGTGAACAGGTTCGCTTAACGATGATGGTGTTCGCTTAACAACCTTGGTGTTCACTTAACAACCTTGGTGTTCAGTTAACAACCATTGTATTCACTTAACGACCATGGTGTT